ATTTTAAAAATTAATTATTTTTGAAAGTACAAAATAGCCTTTCATAAAACAATTCCATATTCACGTAGGTCATTTTTCAAATTCAAGTTAGTGATGTTTGACTTCATATAAATAGTACACTATAAATAACACCATAGTAAGGGCAAGGGAAGGAGGTAGCTGAGTCAAAATACTAGCAAAGCCATATTGACATTTCTATTTTGTAGTGGACAGTGTGAAGGTAGAATGAAAAAGTTTAGCTTATTTGATTCATCCAATTCTCTTGAAAAAGATATTTTAAAATTAATTATTAATCAGGAATAGTTTTACTTACAATCTTAATATTACTGTGGGATGATTAATGATCAATCTATTAAATTGACTGAATTAAGAACAATAATACTGGGCTTCCCTGGTGGCGCAGTGGTTGAGAATCTGCCTGCCAGTGCAGGGGACACGGGTTTGAGCCCTGGTCTGAGAAGATCCCACATGCCGCGGAGCAACTGGGGCCCGAGAGCCACAACTACTGAGCCTGCGCGTCTGGAGCCTGTGCTCTGCAACAGGAGAGGCCGCAACAGTAAGAGGCCTGCGCACCGCAATGAAGAGTGGCCCCCGCTCGCTGCAACTAGAGAAAGCCCTCGCACAGAAACGAAGACCCAACGCAGCCAAATAAATAAATAAATAAATAAAATAAATTTATAAAAAACACACAAAAAACAAGAAAACAATAATACTACAACATTTCCCTCTTCTCACTTGGCATTAATTTTTTCTTAAGTGTAAGAAAAAAATTTTTTCTTACATTTCTTCTTGTCATTTTTTTCAAAGTGACAGCATATATGGTTTGAGTCAAATAATTACAAGGCTCGTAACAATAAACAGAAGGCCCTGCTCCATTGGTCGTCACTCTGATGCCTGCTTCTCAGAGGAAAACTGCTGTTCTACTATTTAACTCCACGTTTCTAAAAAGCACATTTCTTTTTTCTTTTTTTTTTAATTAACAGTAATCTTTTATTTATTTATTTATATTTATTTTTGGCTGTATTGGGTCTTTGTTTCTGTGCGAGGGCTTTCTCTAGTTGTGGCAAGGGGGGGGCCCACTCTTCATTGCGGTGCGTGGGCCTCTTCACTATCGCGGTCTCTCTTGTTGCGGAGCACAGGCTCCAGACGCGCAGGCTCAGTAATTGTGGCTCACGGGCCTAGTTGCTCCGCGGCATATGGGGTCTTCCCAGACCAGGGCTCGAACCCGTGTCCCCTGCATTAGCAGGCAGATTCTCAACTACTGTGCCACCAGGGAAGCCCTAAAGAGCACATTTCTATTGCCATGGCTTAGTTATTCCGTTTTAGCCATTTTATGCCATTTACTAATTTCCCAATATGCTTATATCCCATTGTTCAGTGTTTATATATTTTAATCTCTATTTTATATATTGTCCACAGCATCCCATGTTATATCAGTCAGGAGAGGTTAATTATGCTGCATTAACAAATTACCACAAAAACCTCAGTGGCCTACAACAATAAAGGGTTATTTCTCATTTACACAGCATGTTGGCGGCAGGCCAGCTGCAGTTCGCTCTACCGTGTCTGCATTCAGGACTCAGATGGCCAGAGGCAGCCTCTAACAAGTGCCCACCTTGTGGCAGGCTCAGAGACATGGCTCTAAAGCTTCTGCCTGTGCCTCTATTTCCCTGGCCACCGTAATTCACCCTGCCGGGTCTGACATCAATGGGGCAGGGAAGTATAATTCTCCTCCAGGAAGGTAACATCAAGTACTAAACAATCATATAGTCCACCACAGTTATTTTGTTTTCCCTGGAATTTATAGCCCCTTCTTCCTTGGGTTGCTTAGTTTTCTCTATATCCTATCACCATTTCATCTCTTTATGTTCCACCAGAGCTGTGAAATTTCTCTCATAAGGTTCAAACACAGTAGGTAATCGATCAATTCTGTGGCTTTTATAGTTGTTGTTTTGTTTTTTCCTTGGAGACATCCCTTCTGGAGCCCTCCATCCTCCTGTGTCAGAGTAGACTGCTCTCCAGGCCTGCTACACAGTTGTCATCCTGGAACTTCCCTTCACCTTTATCTCAGGAATTCTCCCTATTTTCTCTTTTGTTGGAGCTCCTGTTTACCAGGTAGGTCCTATGTGTTTCTGTTTCTTGGTTTACACCCTTATTTTGATGAGGCATCTCCCTCTAGTAGATTCCTGAGCATATGTGAGTTAAAATTTTTTACTTTGACATCTTTTTCTGCTCCCTCCATTGTCTCTGTTTCTTTTCTTCTTTTTTTTTTCGCCGTACGCGGGCCTCTCACTGTTGTGGCCTCTCCCGTTGTGGAGCACAGGCTCCGGACGCGCAGGCTCAGCGGCCATGGCTCACGGGCCTAGCCGCTCCGCGGCATGTGGGATCTTCCCAGACCAGGGCACGAACCCGTGTCCCCTGCATCGGCAGGCGGACTCTCAACCACTGCGCCACCAGGGAAGCCCCTCTTTTCTTTTTCTCTTCTTCTTCTTCTTTCTTTCCTTCCTTCCTTCTTTCCCTCCCTCTCTCTCTGACTTTTTCTTTTTTTCTTTCTTTACCCTGTTTGTTCATTTCAGGCTCTTTCATGTAAGGAGGTTTCTTCAAATATCTGGAGATCCTGGACTATTCACTATTGACTAACAGTGGATGAGAGCTTCTGTTGGTAGGAACAGGACTTGTCTATTGTTGGTCTTCATTGTAAAGAGATAGGTGACAAGCCACATTCTCCATTACAGAACCCCCAATTGTCAATATTTGTAGGCCTTTACTCTTGGACCAGCTGGTTTTCCACCCAGAGGAAGCTTCTAGTTCCCTGACATGATCCCAGCATTCTAGAATCTGAATTCGGGAATGAAGCTGGGGTGGGGGGGATATGTCTCATAACTCAACATGCATAATTTCATTTAATTCTGCTTTTCTATGGAGTGAGTCATCCCTGTCCTTAGCTCTGCCTGGGGTCCAGAGGAGCTCTGCGTCAAACTGTCCAGAAAGTAAACTTCCTGTCTGCTGAGTTAAGGCAGGAGGGAATGGGTTAGGGACTGGGGGAAGGAAGGATCCCACTGTTCATCATAAAGTCTTCATAATAAATTCTCATTCTCAGTCCCACTCTACTTCTGCTTTCAGAGGTGCGGCAGCTCTAGCTTCAGACCCTTTCGAGGGTCTGGGATGTGAAAAGGTTCACTCTGGCTGGGTCAACCTCCTCCCAGAAGCTTAGATATTAAATTTTTTAGTTTGGGTAAGTTAGTTGTCACTCATCCATCTCCTTCCATGTTCCTAAGTTTGTTGACATCCTTCATCAGCAGGGATCTTTTTTCCTGTTTGCATTGTCTTTATGGGTTTATACCTTTTTTATCCCTTCACTCTCATTTTAATGAGGTATCTGGAGTGAGTAGGGAAAAACATGTGATCAATGCACCGTGTTTAACCAGAAGTCTCCTTACCATGAACACGAATAGATGTAACGAACATGTTTTCTAAGTGGGAAAAGTCCAACTATAGTTATAGGCAATTCTATAAGAATTAGATATAGATTAGTACAATAATATACCTAAATTTTATTGAGTGCTTATATGTGCTAAAAAGTCTTTTAAATGCTTATATGTATTATATATATTAATATTTTATCCTCACAATAATCCCATGAGATGGATGCTGTGATTCAACACCTAGCAGTCTGACTCCAGACCACCTATGCTATATAATGGGGTACTTCGTGTTTTAAACTACAGGTAATCTTGTTATTTTCAACTTGTCAGGCCTCTAATCAATCCCTATTTATTGTTAGCTTAAGCTATAGCTGAGGTTTTTCACATAGAATTTTAACATTTACAGCACGTTATTTGATGTGGCAAGGCTAGCATCACTTTTGATGTGTCTATTTGAAGATACATGTTGGAGGTAGAAGGAGTAGTTTATGACCAATTTTAAAGCATAGTCATTTAAACTGGGAACCCTAGCATGTGTTTGTTTTATAATACAGACAGATGGGCATTTCCTCTTAAAGAAAGCAGTCACCATCTGTAATCTGAGAGGTCAAAGAGAAGCAATTAGAAATCTCACATTAGCAACAAAACTTTAAAGTGCCTGAAACATGCAAGAGTTTAACATCTTAAATCACTGATGGCCTTGAACACCTTAATTCAGAGCATTCAGCCCCTCATTCTTTGAAGATTTTAGGACCAGGCTCATTATCACTCTCTTCAAAGCTACTCACTACTCCAACACCACTGTCACATCTGCAGATAATTCTTTGCAAGATATAGATATAGATATAGACATAGATATCTTTCAAATTCTTACTGCCTCTCAGTTCCTTGACCATCTCTCTTGGAATGATCTTTCCCTCTGCTATCGCATCTACCCACTCTTATGGTCATTCCCTACACCTTGACATTACTGACATTACTTCTAATTTTAATTTCAAGCCTACTACTCTCCAACCCCTCTCTTCTCTTTTCAGGTCATTCTCTATGGTACCTAAACTCCAGCAATTCTTCAACCTGATCAGAAACACCATTCCATTCACCCTCCCATCTTTTCACAGTTCCCCACCCCTCTCAAAGCCTTATTTCTTACCACATCTGAAATTATAATGCCTCCTTTGCATCTACCCTCAACTACCCTTTGCCAATCTCTCCCCATCCTACTTGCCCAGCCAAATCTCAGTCCTGGGTAATCCAAAACTGCCTACTCAGTGCTTGCACATCGCATGAGCAACTAAATCTGTCTGGAGAAAAATGCACAATCATAATGACTGGTCTCACTATAAATTCATGGCCACTCACTCAGGTGGGCGTTATTAGTGCCTGGAAACCTTACCATGTTTCCCTCATCAATTCCCTCTCCCACACTGACAGACTAGTATTTCATCTCTCTTCTTCTCTCCCTCCCCTGCTAACTCCCCCCTCATTACTTTCAGTTAATAACTACATGAGCCACAGTAGGCTAAACTGTTATAACAAACAAAAATGTTATGGCTCCCACTCAATAGAAATTTATACCTTGCTCACAAAATAATCCAGAGTGGGTGTTCCAGGTCAATGGGCAGCTCTCCTTCATCCCTGCACGTTCTTTCTGTGGTTCTGCCAACTCCAGGGACTTGTAGTCATCTGCATAATCCAGCTGGCAGGAAGGAAAAATGCATGAAGGAGGCACACTAGCCTGGCAGTGGCCGACATCATCTCTGCTCACATTCCAGTAGCAATAACTTCACATTTGACCATACCCAACTGAAAGAAAGGCTGAGAAAAATAGTCTCTGTAGTCAGGAAGAAAGAGAGAATACATTGTGATGGACAATTAGCAGTCTCCCAAAATGATCTTGTTTCTTATTTCACTGAGAAGATAGAAGCAACTAGAAAAGAACTTCTACTTTGTCCCACTATGAAATCCACAAGCCTACTTTAATATGTCCCATATATGTGGGGACTGGAGGGATTATATTTCTAGGCTGTCCCCAATCACAAAGGGGCAGTTTCCAAGCTTTCAGTTAGAACAACATGGTCATAATGACCACACCACTTAATCACAAAGTTCAAACATACCTTCTTTCCTTGCACTTTTTGACCTCTGTGGTTTTGGATATTGTGATCAACTCTCCTTCCTGCCCCTGTCTTTGTGAAACTCCAATGTATCTTGCTTTGGTGATTCTGTGTTTCTCTGGTTCTCCTCCCACTTCCTCCTCTCTTTCTTTGCTGGCTTCTCTATCTAGGTTAGATCCCTTCTTTATTTGTTGGCTTTTCTCATCTAGGTCTGAGCTTCTTAAACTTTAATGTGATACAAATCACTTGGGGTTCTTGTTAAACTGAAGACCTGATTCAGCAGGTCTGGGGTGGGGAGGGCTGAGATTCCACCTTTCCAACAAACCCCCTGGTGATGCTGGGCCAGTGTGGCTGGGCCACTGACCATGCTTTGAGTAGCAAGGTTCTAAAGAAGATGTTCTCCAAGATTCTGCCCTTTGTTTTCTTTTTTTCTCTCACAGTGGTATCACTGCTAGGCTGATAACTTCCCAATCTATTTTCTAGTTCAACCCTCTTATCCTTACTTCAAAACCTTTACATCTAACTTCTCAGTGTCCACCTCTATCTGGCTGTCTCAACAATCTTTCAAACCCTTAAAATGTCCAAGTCTAAATTGATCTCTCAAGAAGTTCCTATTCCTATCTCTAATTGTCTTTTTTCTATCTTCTATAATTATCTCCAAACTCAAAACCTCCATTACCTTTAATTTTTCTCTTCCTCCTTCATGTATGTTCTCAAGCAATCCCCTCTTACTGGAAAACCAATTAATCAAATGCCAAATTCTGTAGATTCTGCTTCCACATCATCTTTTAGCCAAGCTCTTTTAAATTCCTCCTGCCTTACCTTTAGTTCAGATTTATCATTACCTTTTACCTGGCCTATGGCAAGTCTATCTGACCATTTTCCCACCTCTTATTTCTGTATCCATTCACAGAGAGATCAAAGAAAAGCAAGGTTTTTAAACCCCCAAACTTTTAAACCACAAAAACTAAGTAATGATTTGAATACAAATTCTTCCACTTGGCATCCCAGGCCCCATTCTCCTCTGTGTCTGCCACTTCTCAACATGCCCTAGAGCCTTACCATTTGCTTTTCCTGAACACAACTTCCATTGATTCACTTTCATATATGTTCTCATGCTGTCTCTTCTTGCTGTAAAACCATCCCCATCTCCTTCAAGGTCAATCCCAAATGCCTTCTCCTCCTTACTGCCTTTCTTTCCTGATTCCCCAGACAGGTGTGAGCAGTTCTCTGATATTCTGCAGTACTCTGTATTTTTCACATGGCATCTGTCATGGTTTGTCTTTTAACTGTTTTATCCTTGTATTATTTCTTATTTTGAAGGCAAGGATAACAGCTTTAACTCCCCTCTGTAACCCTGCAGCGTCTTACCTATGGGGGCGTCTACTATTAGTTGAAACAAAGTGATTTAGGAAGATAATGTGACACAACGGTAAGCAGCACAGAATTTGAAGTCAGGACAGCTGTGTTCCGGCTGTGCCGTTTATTAGATGTGAGGCTTTGGGTAAGTCACTTAACTTGGCTTGCAAAATGAGAATCCTACTACCTGATGTAGCACGAAGGGAGGTAACGTGAAAGTGCTGTAACTCTACAGAGAACTGAGCAATGGTCATTATTTTCCTTACAGAGAAATGATGCAGTCTTTCTATTCAAATCTTGTTTGCAGGACCAACCCTACTTCACTAACTGGAGGTCGAGCCCGGAGGGGCTGGGAATTCGGGCCCCCACGTTCCACTGGCCCTTTTCTACTGCAGGGCTCTCTAACTGCTCTCCGCGATTCAGGTGAAGCCGCCGAACTGCGGAGAAATAGCCTGGAGTCCTATTCTCTCGGGAGGCCTCCGTCCTTCCACCTACCCCGGGTAAGCCCTTCTCTTCCCGGTAACCCCGAAGACCGCGGCGCCGCCGCCTACGTGAGACGTTTGGACCCTGCCCGGCCCCCGTAGCTCCCCTTCTCCAGCAGGTGGGTCTGGTCCTTTCCCCCAACTCCGGGCGCTCACGTCACCCGCGAACCCCTACCCACGCGACAGCGCAGCAACCAACCTAGAAAATAAACAAACCCCCGCGCGCGGCGGCGGGCGCGTCAGGCCCCTCCCCCGCTCCGCCCCGCGGCTCTCAAGCCGCCCCCTCCGCCGGGACTTCCCTCCCGCCCTCAGCTCGCGGCCGCGTTTTCCCCGCCCCTCACCGCAGCCCGCAGCCGCGCTCCCCGCCGCGGTCCGCCCGGCCCGCCGCCCCGGGGCCCGTTAGTGCTCCGCGCCCGCTCGCGGGTCCGCCGTGCGACCCCCGCCCGGAGCGAGCCCGCCCCTGCCCCCCGACACTTGACCCAGCGCAGTCCCAACGCCCAGTGCGGCCGCCCCAGGAGCCGCGGAGCGGCGGCGGCGGGGGGAGGAGGGAGAGGAGGGCCGTGCCGGCGGCCGGGGAGGCCCGGTGAGTACGCGGAGGGCGGGCCGCCTCGCGGGGGACCGCTCCGGGGCCCCTGAGGCGGTGGTGGCGGCTTGGCCGCGCTGCTCCGTGCGCCCCAGTCTCGGCAGTTGGGGACTCGGCCTGAGGCGATGGGCCCCGCTGTCCGGAGCCGCTGGGCAGAGTGCGCGGGAGGGCCGCTCCTTGGGAAGGGCCGCGGCCCCGACGCTCGGCTCTGGTCTCGGGGGCGGCGGAGAGAGACCCACGTCGACCTCAGGCCCAGGCGCCCGGGCGGTGCCTGCGGCTCCCGAGACCCCGCGGGGGCCGGGGCCGGGGTCGACCGCGGTCTCTGGGCCGTCGAGTGACAGGTGCCGCCGCCCCCTCCCCGCCGCGGGCATCGCGCTCCCGCCCGGGGAGCCAGGCGCTCGGAAATTTCTGGAGCTTCGACCTGACTCGCTGTTTTCTCCCTTTCAGGTTTTGAAGCCGCTTCTCTGCCCGAGTTAGGTCTCGCCCAGCCCTGTTTCCTTCTGTATGTACTTTGCGCGAATAAGTTTTGGAGCATTGGTTAACAGCCTGTGGGTGAAATTTGGCTTTCATTCGTGAATGAGGTATAGTGAATTACTTTTTGAGTAAAGTGCTTCTCCTCCTCTCCGCTAACTGTTGAAGGGTAAAAGGGAGAAGGGTTTTGAATTTTGTTTGTTTTTTGTAGTTATTGTTTGGAACAAGCACTCTTCCAGAATTTTTGTCATCTCTAGCACTTAGGGTGCTTGGTAGATATTGAACAGTGATAAAAAATGACTTATTAAATTGTCTTTTCTCTCCGCCTTGTTTTAGATTTTTCATTCTTACCTTAGCTAGATTCTACAATTGAGTAGGTGCTATGGCTTTCATTAGAAGCACTAATGAAAGATCGTCTTTCCTCTACTGAAAAGCCAGTGAAATTTTCTCTGCACTGTTCATTACTATTTCTTTACGTAGTAAACGTGCTTGTGATTGTAACCTGAATCATCAGTTTAACAAATTTGACTTGCAGCCATAAGAATATTGAACTTTGTGGCAATTAAAAATTTTTTAAATCTTTAATCTGTGGAAACTTAGATTTTTTTTCTCAACAGGTTCATAACACTTAAGTTCTCATCAGTCAAATCCTAATTAATGGAAGATATTGTCATAAATGGTTACAACAAACTTATCTATAAGATAATCAGGTGGCTTCACTCTTTTAAGAGTGAAGAACCCAGAAGTTGACCAAGAGATCACTGGGGCAAATGAAAATACACGTGCTTTATTTATAGGCGAATCCCTTAGGTCCTCAACCGGTACCTGCTTGTACTTTTTGCCTAGGTTTTTCAACCCACAGAAATTAGGTGATGCAGATTGGAGATGGGAGGCAGTATTTAACTATGAAGAAAAAAAATGGAATTTAGGGCATACCCATTAAGTTTATATGGTTTGTTTGCGTTAAGTTGGTTGCGAGCAAAGTTTTGGTATGCTCTTGGCACTTACTGGTTGTGAACCTTACTTTATAAGAAGCCAAAGTGAAAGATATTGTGTAGTTGTGTTATTTGAGGAACAGACGTGAAATAATATGATAAAAAATTTCACCAGGTATTAAGTCATTCATACTCAATGCCATTTCATTTTATGGTTTTTGTTTTTTTTTCATCTAAGCTACATTTCAGTGAGACCACACTAGTTGGTATCTACATGGTATTCACTTCTTTTTTCATCAGGCTTACTGGTCAATAGTGTTAATAGAAGATGACTATCATTACATTTTATAAAAGGGATATATTTGGTCTTGATTGAGGAGCTTATACATATACCAGTTTTGAAGTGCCCTAATTGTGGTTCCCTGGACCTGAGGTATGGCTACTCCTACCATCTTTCTTGACCTTAGAGAGATCATAGTCTAAAGGGATTACATCATAGTGGCACTGGTCCTCAGAACCTTAGTAGAGGAGCCCAAGAGGATCAGCTGTTCATAAATCCTTCTGCTTGCAGTTTAGGCTATTCATTTAAAAAAGTAGTTTACTTAAGCTCCTCATGTATCCTAGTTCTTTTTAATCAATACTTTGAAACCAGTTGTGTTTCCTAAACAAATATGTTTCCTAAACAAAATTAGTTGTGATAATCAGTTAGTAGAATGGCCCTTATAATGAAGCAACTTTGAACTGCTAATAATCACTGTTAACTCACATTTGCATTCTGGGAATTGAGGATTATCTCTAGTGCACTTTGCATTTTCTTTAGCTCCATTCTATTTTAGAGCTTGTCTTTGAATGCATAGATAGCTGTGTACTTGGGGAATGTAAATATTTTTTAAAAAAACAAATTCAATAAATGTATCTTCTGTGTGCCAGGTCCTGTGGTTTTGTTAGGGGTGGAAAGAAGAAGCTCTTGCCTTTCAGAATGTTGAAATCAGGATTATAAGGGGCTAGGCACAACAGTAAACAGATAATTTTAATTAAATCTATTCAGTAATAAAAGTAAATATAAACTACAGAAATATTACAAAGGAGGGAATGATTAAACAGGCAGGTCAGAGAAAGCGTTATAGAGATCCTAGCATCTGAGCAGGATTTTAAGGAACAAATACAAGTTGTAAGTGGAAGAGATGGAGGGCATTTTAGGCAAAAGGCACAGCAAAAAGATTTGAGCAAGTAAAACTAAATGTGTGGTCAGGAAATTTTAAGTAGTTTGTTTTGCTGGAGTACAAAATCTGAGGAAGGACAGTTGCTATAGAAAACCCTAACATATGCTCTAATATTTAATAAGTAATTGGCTTTTCTAGTATTGAGTATATATAAAGTGGAGACTTCACTATAATTTGATTTTGCTGCGATTTTAAGTATAGAGGAATTAATAGTTTTTACTAATAGATTCATTAAGAAATTATAGAATGTTGCACTTATATGTGATGAGCTGCCTGCATATTTGTTTCTTATGCATTTGACCTGAAACATTTGTTTTCAAATTATCTTTCAAATTTTCTTTTGTCTTCCTTCAACTACTTAAATTAGCCTTTAAATTATTTTTTGAAAGGAGACTCAGGATTTCCCTGGTGGTCCAGTGGTTAAGACTCTGCAGGTTTGATCCCTGGTTGGGGAACTAAGATCCCATATGCTGCGGGGTGTGGCCAATATATAAATAAATAAATAAATAAAATAAAAGGAGACTCAAAGGGAAGAGGGAGAAACATAGAAAATAATCATTAAATTTCTGGACTAAAAACCTAATTTGTGTAGTATTTTAGTAATTTGTAACTGTTTAACATAGAGCACTAGCCACTGCACTCATAGACTGACCAATGTAGGTAGCTTAGTGGATGTCCACTGTATTTTTGTTTTGTGTATCTTAATTATGTCCTTGTTATTTAAATGTATGTTTATAAATGAGCATTTATATATACTCAGGTATCTGGATTTTAAAGACCATGTGATGCATAAAGAAAGGGAAAATAACAGGGGGAGGGAGAAGAACTCTGAATCTATTTATCCAGGTATCTCTTAGGTATGACCGTAGGTGGAGATGCAGAAGTTTAGGACACAAGACCTCTAACCGTAGCCTCACAAGAATACTGACCCTAGCCTTTCCCTGAAATAGTATCTTTAAAAGTCTCATGTTTTTGTGGTCTGCTTATTTATCTCTTTTTCTCTTCAAGGTTTTAAAGCAGTTACAAATGAATTCCTGGATTGTATAACATGATTATCTTTTTGCAAATTCTGAAAAATCTGTTAATGAAGGCAATGTTCTCTTAAAAACATGCACCATAATCAGTCTTTGACAATTGCTTTGTGTCATTTATCTTCTCAATCACTAACATAAAAGAACCTGAGGCATGTCATTGTTAATTCTGACCTGTAGTTGCCCTTTTTAAGTTTTGACACAGGGCAGAAAAATCAATATTGCTTTGATTACATTATGTTTTTCTTTTTTGAATTTGGGTATAGATGACCATTATTCCTTTTCACGATGAGAGTTTTTTCTTATAGAAGGAATATGGTCGTTACAGAATATTTGGGGAAATAGTGAAAACTATAGAAAGGAAAAGGAGTAGTCCCATGCATTTCCTCCTTTTGGTATGTAAATAATACACATATTTACAAATTGGGGATTATTTTTATATTTTTATTCCCTTCTTTCATTTAAAATTTACATTTCCCCCCTCTTCCACCTCTGAAGTACTGGTTAGTGTATGGTATATAGATTTTTGACATAGTATACAGATTTCTCTCATGGCTAATGAGGTAGTTGATGTGTTGGCTGTTTATTACTTTTTTTTTTTTTAAGTACAGCTTGAGTACAGATGATGAGCCCTTCCAGTTGTCCCATCTCCTTACTCCCTCAGCTGCTGAGTAGAGCTATTTTTGGCCTTTAGTATTTACTATTATGTAGAGTATAGTGCAGGTGGCTACCACTCTCCTATTCTACCTGTACCCCTTACCGAACAAGGGATCATTGGAGGTGAGCATTTACCCTTTGCATTTACCCTTTCATTAGTTAGAGAAAGTATTTTAACACATGGGTTGCTAAGATGTAGCATAGGTAGCTGCCTCAGAAAAATAATTATTTTGAGTGTTTATCACTGATTCTTTTCTCAGTTAACAGTATTTGTTCTGATGCTTTCTTTTCACTTTGTCTTTCTTTTATTCTTTTCATTCATTCAGGAAATATTTATTGCTTGTT